TTATCATCGGAAAGGAGCCCGTCAATGCAGAATGTAAGTTCTTGCTGGATTTTGTGCTCTCCAAGTTCGTGCATTCTCCCACAGAATTTGTTCTTACTTTTCTCTGGATTCATATATTTACAAGTGATGGTTTTGATGCCTGCTTCATTATATGTTTGTTTTTGTTTGTTTTTACTTTTCAAGGTATGCTAATGAGCACACCTTGACTGAAATAGATATTCAATCTATTGGCTTGAATTAACCTTGTAGTTACAATAATTTGCTTGCAATTCCTCGGGATTTTCATTAATGATCTGTCAAAAGGGAATATTCTAGTGTGGATCAAAAGTAGATCTATGAAGATGATATTTGAAATGTAAGTGAATTGTCTTGCAGTCGGGTAGCTATATCTGTTATTGTCTCCCTAGGGCATATTGGTATCTCTATATATAACATTGAAAACATTGAAAATATTAATTGCTTGTCTCTACGTATATTGGTAAAGGGCAAATTATTCTTCACTTACCAAAGTGAGATTGCTTGTCTCTACGTATATTGGTAAAGGGCAAATTATTCTTCACTTACCAAAGTGAGAAACTTTACACGCAGCTATAACCCGTATTTGTGTTCTATTGCATATGTATGTGTACTATGTTCATATGAAATCCCTTTATAACCACTAACCAATTATAATGAACAGCAATGCAGAAATATCTGGTTACACATCAGACACTCAGACCAGCAATTTTGATTAGGATACCTGCATTTTGGGCCTAGTTATCCTAGTATTTCATTTTTGCTCTTAAAAGTAACTATGTGTAAAGTTTGTATTATTTAGAGAGTGTTTATCTTTTTATCAACAGATGGCACCTTTTCATCTACATCTTTCCTCAGATTATTATGCAGAGCGCTCCTCGAGTCAAGTCCCCCAACTAAATATATCTTTAGAAAACCGGTACATGTCAAATCAGTTTCTAATTTTGCTCTTCCACTCCACATGCATCTCCATGTGCTTTGTCAGCATATAGTTTACATTTACTGCTTATTCACCCTGCTTGTTGCGTAATCTGATTTTTCAGGACCCTTGAGGACAGGAGCAGTTTAGATACTTTGAAGGGCTCCCACTTCTTGTCCCTGCAACCTATTCCTCAAATTCCATTCAATCCAAATAATAAAGGTTCCTCACGAAATTTTGAGGAATCCATGCCACAAACTGTAAAACCAAAGAAAGCCAAGCAATCCTCATTAGCTCATTTGGACAAAAGTTCTAAAGATACCCATCCAGTGTCGCTAGATTCCAGGTACCTCAAAAGTGCTGATATGGATGATGCGGTTGAACTTAGCATTGCAGCATCTGAGGCTCTGGCTATATCTGACCTTGTTAAGAGCAGTTTTGGTTCTGAATCTTACTCATCTTCAGTTATATTGAAAATTGCCCTTAAAGTAAAAATGGCAAGAAAACAGTGTTGTGTGGACGAATTTGATATTTCTTCTGCTTCGATTGAGGAATTCAATGGGAATAATGATCTCTCTGACTTGGATGACAATTCCATGGCAGATGCTTTTGATGATGTTGGCCTCTGCCCGGTCCAAATTGTGAATTCTGGTGTTATTCCATGCAGTAATGCAGGAATTCTTGATAATAATACTTCACCCTTACATCCAGAAAGAAATGTTGGCCAATGCAATGAGTTTTTTTATTCTTCTAAGCAGTCTCTTGTCAAAGAATGCAGTTCAAAACTGCAGAACACCTGTAGTCCATGCAAAAATGATACTCATGTTTCCAATACATGCTTATCCAAAAGCCTTGGCAGATCCGATGGAGAAAATGAGAGACCTTCCATTGATATCAAATCCAAGGGAGAACATGTGTTTTCCACCATTCCTTCACAAGGGAGTGTGATTGGTCCTCATGTTGATCGTATACGATCAAATGACTCTCTCTCACAGTCTTTACCTGAAGAGCATACGGGACTTTGTCCCAATGATTCTTGTGGTTCCAGAGGAATCATTTGTGGTGCTAATGAACTCCAATCAATAGCAATGGATGACTCGGTCATGGCTACTACAATTAGAATAACTTCCAAGGTGAGGATGTGCAAGCATTGACTTCCTATAAAAATGCAGAGATTATTTTTACATTATCTTATATAAC